TACATATATGTATACATATATATATCCCCTTCTGTGTCATATATATGTATATATATATATATATACACATTTTGTATAACGCACATACTATACACACATGTTCTCTAACGTATATAATATTAATATGTTATATTATAAATCTATCATATTTGTGTTATAATATTCGAAATACAATTATCTTCTCTATCTCTCGCATTTTGCCACATATAAATCTATTTATACCTCAAGTTCATCAATTATTATATTATCAAATCAAGCCAGCTTTAAATTTGTTTTCATGATTTAACACAGGTTACATTGTTGTTTATTACTGTGTACAATGCATGATACACATCTTCAAACGTATTAAAATGGATGATAAAACTAATCAGTCTTTCTACGCGCTTAGTATATTTTTCGATTGATAGTGTACTTGTGTGTCTCCCATTTTCATAAAAGATAAGAACTGGTATTTGGAAGAAAAGTGCGAGACTTTTTATGACCACGATTTCATCTTGCTGTCTGTGAAAGCATGTATCATTTACCCAATACATTAATGAAGCAGTTCAGTTATTCCGCAATATCATCGTCGACGCGTTCATCTGTGTTCTACACGTTTTTACACTTCCGGTAGCAGAGATCGGATTATATTACTCTCCCCGTATGAGGTCACGTTAAATTATCTACTAGTCAAAAGTTACTCTCTTAAATCAATTGTGAAATATTTGTGTCATGCAAATAATTTCGTGAGGTAAAAATAATCTAGTAAACCTTGTTTTTTGGTTGAGGAATTAGTAGCAGTGTCCCTATTTCCATTCTCTGCTACGTCACTCTCCTGCTGTATATTGTGTATTATATTTAATTCAGTAGTACTGCTAGTAGCAGAGTCTGATTTAACTTGTTCTTCAGACAACGGATGACTATTGTCAAATGTAGCCTTGCCTCGTTTGATCAATTTGTATTTCTGGTAATTCTTCGAGGCATTCCGCATACGTATCAAGAAGTCAGGTAAACCTGAAACAAATATATCACAACACAATTACCGCAATTATTAAGTCACAATTACAATATATTAAAAGATATTTCACGAGAGATTACAAAAGTACAAAAGGCGTCGATGAATCGCAATGAACCTTCTTTGTCAAAATGTTTACTTTATGATTATAAGAGAATATACCTCTCAGTGCTACCCATGAGGTAACAGGTGTCGGCACGGATACACCAGGATCGTCAAAGTATGTGAGTCCGAATTCGATGCCTGGCTTGTTGAATTCTGTATAAGGTCTTATCACCATGTGCGACCAATACGACTTGACCCTGAATATACATAGATCTCAAATGATTCATTGATTGAAGAACCCGAGATTCTTTTTTGATATAATGTGATCTTTTTTATTTTTGTGTTCTCAGATATATAGATATTAATCTAAGATCTAAAGCTGTGTAATAAGCAGATTTTGCATTAGGTGTTCTTTGCGTAAATCTTCGAAAATATATAGATATCAAAAATTAAAATATTTTCTAACAAGATATGATACTAAAAAAGGAAAAATTGACCAACTTTTTGATATTTCACAAAACGATACATCTCCGTATTGTTTCTCAAAATACACAGATATATATATAGCTGACTGCTTTTATGTACCTATAAGTACCACGTATGATTGGTACATCAGGATGTTCCGTTACTCTGCTGACAATAATTATGATTCCAGTTTCCCTATTTACAATCCACCGTCGTTGAAACACATAATCTCTATTTGAAAATAATCTCTACGAAATATAAATTACTTAATTATTAAATGAAAAATTCATATTTAGTGTCAAGACATGTCTAACTACTTACAGGCCAGAGCATCTCCCAATGAATAACATCGTTACTTTGATCGATACATGATTTTGACTGCGGATCAGTTTCAATGATCTCTAATTCCTTAGCGGTAGAATCCCATTCCAATCTATAATCGACATCTATTTGTACTTGTAAGAAGTCTTCGGCAGTGACGTCAGAGAACGAGCCATATACTTTGTATGCATATAATCCTCCAGGCTCCTGCCGCCTCCATATTAACATATCCTGACGTTCGATATAAGGCTGCCAACCATCCGCTGTATTTCGTACATTAATGACATAAATTAGATATAGTAAGAATGCATATAGAATATATAGAGAAATAGAAGATGCAAGGTTGTAGTAGTTAATATGAAAGCAAACGTACAATTTTGATTAGAAGCGGTAGACTGAACTCCATTGCATTTACAATATTTTACATTGGACTGTATAACATCAACGACAATCCGCAAATGGCATTTCGCGCATATCACTGTACATTCTCGTAACCTGTGAATCCCTTCAATTTCATGAATATATCTATAAGATGAAATATTGACGATGTTATCCTGAGAATATTACATATATATTTACTATCGCAGGTAAATGCATAGTGACAAGTACTTATTAATTTCCTCGTCACCGATCCTCTCACGATCCCAATTGTACATAGTTACGGCAATTGTGCTGAATAGGAAATTTCTGGTGATTCTCGATTTCCATGACCTCATGAACTCTCTCAATGCCACCTCGTCCCATATCCTCGTATAAAGGTAAAATACTTGCACATGTCTCCTGATTCTCTGTGCCGTTATAAACTCAAATTGCTTCCTACAGGCTTGGGTGACTTGCTTGCGCTGCTCCCGAAACCACAGGTTTATTTCGTCGCGGTAAACACCGAATTTGCCGTAAGTAATATCCCGGTGCTTAACGAAATATGTTAACCTGCCACCATTATGACTGCAACTGGTATCGAATCGTTTGAGAACATGACCGAACAGTTTCCACGTATACATAATTTAGTTGCAATGTCGGTATACGGTCGTATGCTTTTTATACGGTGGTTTGTGTTACAATCTCTCAAAAGAGATGTTTGTTAACTCTCGTTATAACGAAGCGAGCGATTCTACAGGCAAGCGCAGCCTCGTGGCGATAACACGTAACTGTACGTAACCTTTATATGTGCCGGACTTCTTGGTAAAAAAAGCTTTGTCGTTTTCATATTTACCGGCCATTATATATTTATAACGTCAAATTCTATTTTTAATAACGCTGAGATAGTATGACATGCCAAAAATATAACGCGTGTCTATATTAAATTGTAATTACATTATTTACAGCTCTTTTTGTGAGTGAAGAGGTTACATTGTGCTCTAACAAGATATGACTTTTAATCAGACCAGCTTGAGCAGGTGTATTCTTTAAATTATATATACACATGTACCATCAATTTAATTTGAAGTATAATATAGCGAATACGACAAAGTAAACAATAACAGAAAAAATAATGGATGTAAATGTTGATATCGAATATTGGTAAGTAAATAGGATGGCCTAACAAGCTCTGTCAATCTAGACTATTTTTTTATTAGAATTAACTTAGATTAAAATTGTATAGATTGTGTATGTAGAAAAGTATATTTCACGATTTATTTGTATAAATATTTAAAGTAAAAAATTGTTATGATATTTTACAGTGGTTCATGTGGATATAAAAGACATTTTTTACAACTGACAAAAGAAATAAAAAATAATGTCAGTAATGCCATTGTCAATGGTAGAGCAGGAAGACGAGGCAAGTAAATAGACATGGCATATAAATGTGGCTAAATAATTAGAACAAGTTAGGATTTTCACGATTAATTTTATTTTTTAGCATCTTTTGAGGTACGAGTCAATGATGAACTTGTATATTCAAAACTTGAGACACTAACCTTTCCTGACACAGTTGCAACTGTGAATATGATCAAAGACGTATCAGCAGGTGAACCAGTGAGGAAAATTAACAAACATCATTTAGAATGTGTATTATTATAAAACAGTTTTATTAAAAATCAGGTACAGTTAAATAATTATTTACACATCCAAGCACCAAGATGGCGTCGATGACATTTTAATAACGTCTTATTGACGATAGAGACGTCGTTAATATGTTATTAAGATATTGTCTGACGTTACTTTGCTTAGGCAGTAAATACATATTTTAAAATATGAGATTTCTCCATAATCAGCTTATAGTGACTTAATGTGTGTATGGTTTATAGAACCATAAGTTGTTCAGAAGTTGTACATAATGTTCAATTGTATATTCAAGAATAGTAAATATCATCGCCGATTTTAAGTAGATTTTGCGCATTCCCCAATCGGGTCAGGTAAATCCCAAATTTTAACTTTCCATGGAATTCTTTCGCTAATGTTCTTAATGGCTCAATGGTCTTCCTTCCGGTTGTTTGATCTATGCATATCATTTGACATCTTGTGCAAGGACCATTTACCTGTAACCACGTGCATAATATATTCCAATATGACATATCAATAACTACGGGGAATATAAAAATTTTTACCTTGAAATTGTTATTCCCTATACGAATGTATTGCCATTGCATTTCTTCAAAGGCGTTGCAACCTTTTACAATAATATTTCCGCGGAATCGATGCACGGCAGTATCTCTCTTAAAATCTACATCATCAGATACCTTATCAATGAGCCATGAGACGCTCGCTTCATTTACTGCCAAATATTGCGCTTGACTAGAAAATGATAATTCCTTGTCTGATCCTACAAAAAAAACACACACGTATGATTTTTACCTCGAAATTCAGTCTGATGCTTTCGTATTTCCTGAGTATTGACTGTACCTTTCTTTTGCCTCCCATGGCTTTGTCGAATTAATCTAAGGTTTGGTTTGCCCAACGCCAAACTTAACCACTCCGAAACTTCCGGTCCACAATCTATACCTTCTACTCTGCTCTCGCACACTCTGCTTCGGTACACAGAACGGTCCATTGACTCTTTATAAGTAATTTCCAAAGGTATTCGAATTGTTGGCATTCCTAAGACAATTTATTGTGGTTTACACTAAAACTAACGCGCTAATTTACATTGAAGAGCACCAAACTCGTGAAATCGATAGTATACCTGGATACGAGAGCTCCATGATATTCCGCTCTCTAAAAATAACAGGCTTCAGCAAACACAGATTTGTCTGGTGCTTTTGAGTTAGACAAATTCCAGAGGATGTTACTATCATCCACTCTCTGTCGTATTCCAGACCTTTTGAATTTAGACTCCACGAGTCCGTAATCTCGTACGCGCCGCACGATTTCACCGGGTAAATAAACAATCGCTGCAAAGTGCATTTGTTCGTTCGTGCAGTCGTATTGTCAGAATTTACAAAACCCACAGTACCGTTGAGATTTTCGCTTTTATCGCGGAGATTGTTTCGCATGTTATTGTTCACTTTATTCTTATCTGTGATAGGCGGAATGGCACGATCTAAGATGTTGGAGTTGTAAAAATGTCTCCCTCGGTACTTCTTAGAGGCTCTCGTTCTGTGATCTTCCCACCATGCGGGTAATTTCCTGACGCTCGGCCCGTCCACGAAACACTTCGCGATCATGAGCAGAACCGTCTCGACGTCTGTAATCGTGGACATGTAGCCGAAGGAGACTCTCACCGCTCCGGTCGGTCTTCCGTTCACCAAATCCACGGTGCCGCCGCACACATATCCCGCCTCATAGTTCTGAAGGATCGTCCCGGTCGCGAGGGACAAATGTCTCTGGCACGCGCCGGGATTGCAAAAGCAGCCAGTCCTGAGGTGTATTTTGAATAGCGCCGCCATGTTCACGACTTCCATGTAACCCACGTATTCGCCGTTGGACCGGATGAGATTAAACGTAACGATACCCCCCTGCGAGTTACGGTCCTCGTAATTGCTGTCCGCGTACAATTTCGCAACCGGTTTGCCGTTACGATGATGCAACGTTAACAAGGAACGATGCAGGACTTTGGCGAGAGAGAAAACGTGCCTCGATATCTTGTCCATGGTGAGTTTCGACAGTATGTCGAAGCCGTATCGCAGCGACGCGATCGAGAGGAACGGCACAGTCCCGTCTTCGAATCTGCAAAGCAAGGAGGTTTTAGGTAATCCTCTGACTAACAATCGACGAAGTCGTGTGGTCTTTCCCTATTCACCTTTGATGTAACACTTGACGTTTTCGATGAAACATTTCAGAACCGAGAGCGACGTCCACAGCGCCGCCGCCGTAGTAAACCTTTTCCAGAACGTCCGAGCTGGAGTTCTTAACCAGCAGCGCGCCGATGCCGGTGGGGTAGCCGAACATTTTGTAAAAAGACAGACAGACGAAGTCGGGCTTGCAGGCGGACAGATCCAAATGATTCGTCGGCGCGAAACCGGCGGCGTCGAGTAGAACGTACCAGCCGGTCGGCGATTCACCGACCACGGTGGATAACGCTCCCGCGTGCACGTCCTTGATCCATTCGAGAGGGTACTTCAACCCGGAAAAATTGCATTGCGCGGAGTACACGAAAAGCGAATTGCCGCTCTTCCGCCTCTCCTTGTCGTCGGGATCGCGAGAAGTCGCGTGCCGCTCGAAAACTTGAAACGCCCGATCGTGACCGAGGCAGATGACCTCGGCACCTCTGGCAGCGACTACATCTCGCATCCCGAGGACCGACGTATGATTGTCCTGGACGTAAACGAAATTTCCCGCACGCCGCCCGGTTTCGTTACTTCCGTGCGCCTCGAACGAGAACGTCTCGGCGATCGTCTTCAGGCTCGCCGTAGCGCCCGAAGTAAAGATAACGCTGTACTCGTCGAGAGTAGTATTGAAGTGACTCAGGATTCTGAAAAGTGGCAATAATCATATATCATTAATATAATATAATAAATCAATTAGATCCGCTTAGAATGCTTAGAATGCGCTCTTATCGGCACATCGGAGAAAAGCAATTTTACTAAAACATCAAATGTTTGTCGATATGGAGACAGCAAAAAAAATTGCTTTAGACAGCAAAAGATTCGTTTGCACAACAGAAAGATTTGTTAAGAGTATTGATTGTCCATATATCCAGCAAATAGCAATTAATATTCTTAACAAATCTTTCTGCTGTCCAAACAAATTTTTTGCTGTATAAACACAGTTTTTCATTACTATATTGACAAACATTTATTGTTGCAACAAAATTTATTCTCTCCGTGCATGTGTTCGTTCATTTATTTTTTAGTTATAATTTCTCTCTCTCACCGATCTCTCGTACGCTCGATGATATCCCGCGTCGATGAACTGGGAATACCGACGGAGTGCGGATTAGCGTAGAGACAGCGATGCAGGTCGGCTCCTACGTTCCTGACCTGCGTGTCCGAATACAGAGTTGCGCCCGCATGATCCACGTAGCACTCGCCTGAAATAAAAGTGCGAGTGAGCGAACGAAATTTATCCCTTTTCTTTTGTCTTTGCTTAATATCACATCCATTTACGTTCTATTAAACGCGAATGTTCGTACAGGATGACTCAGAATCGGCGGTAGCTTTCGATTTCTACCATGCGTCATGCAAATGACTCGCGTCGCGAGCGCAAAGACGATGATTGAGAAATTAGAATCGATTCGACTAAATCGTACAACGGACAATATGCTCCTCTGAAATTTATCGCTTACCTTCGAGCCTCGCGAATTCGCTCTCGAGAAATTTCGCAGTGGCATCGTCGTACACCGACGTGAACTCCAGCGTTTCAGCCATTCTAACGAAACTCTGTATCAAACTCGGAGATCTGTTACGGTATGCACCGATACTAGCTCTGCTGATATCGTGCCAGCTTATCGTCGGTGTAAGGGTCACGAGAGTAGTTGACACAAATGTTCTCGAATTATGTTAAAGACTGAAAGGAGAATGCAACAAGAAAGAGAACGACCGTACAGTCATGTGTCACGTGACAATTCTTAGCACACACGATACGTACAATTTTATGTTACATCACACACATCATTATAAATAAGCCTGTAGTAGAAAATACATATAGAGCGGAGAACACGTATATGGGATGGAGGTTGTTACCGAACAGTAGTGATTACGATTACTACACGCGATATCTGCTGTAGATACAACGAAATTGATTTCCACGCTCTTATCTCTATTCACGTTACGTTCCCACGTGAAAAATCGTTAAACCTTCAGAATTGTATGAACTATGTGCTTTTCCGCGCACCGCAACTTTCTCGAAATCCGTCGCACGACGTACCGTGCACAGACTGATCATTTACTATCAGTTTATTATCAGTATGTCATAATCATCATCAGAAACATTGACGTACGCTTAATCCGATAGAATGTGTTCGTGTTAACATATATAACAATGGATCCGATGAACGAAATACAGTGGATAGAGAAATATTTGAGATTCTTTTAGAGAGAGAGGGGATTTTATATAACGTAGAAATATGTTACGATAAACTCTGATTACATGTGTCAACAGCGCGAGCAATATATTCTGATAGATCGAGCGAACATGTTTTTTACCCACTGTAGTTAACCATAAACTCCATGCAGTAACTAACAGTTGGCAGATTTTACAATACGTGTTGCGTATGATAAAATTGAAAAAACGTTCCCCTCTAAATTCACCGCACGTATTCGCAGATGCATCGACAGATAAGGAACATTTGCGGAGATCGATAAAATCGAGTTGATGTTGACAAATTTATTTCGTCGAATGGTTTAGTCACAATTAAAAAAATATATTAGAAAAGCGACCGAACCTTTTTGTTTCGGAACTGTTTTAATTTTATACGTGAAGCACATCATATATCAGTCGGTAGCTTTCAACTGCTTGTTGCGTGCCGACACTCATAACGCGCGCACTACGTCGCACAGACTGGCACTGCTAATACACGTTGTAAAGTCGAACTGGAACAATTTTTCGTAAATTGTATGCAATCACATAAAGTCAAGGACGAACGATTCTGAACACGAAAAACCGGGTGAGAGCCATATCACAAATATTTCGAACATACCTTTACACGTGACGAGGTGGCCGAGTGGTTAAGGCGTTGGACTGCTAATCCAATGTGCTCTGCACGCGTGGGTTCGAATCCCATCCTCGTCGGCTTTCTTTTTTGTTTTCTTTTTTCACTGAGATTCTTTTAGAGAGAGAGGGTAAAATAATACTTTTCGCATATATCATAAAATTATATTAATAATGATTTTCACGTTTAATAGAAACTTTATACTTTAAATATAGAAATGATGACATAGTTTGAGTTAAATTACTCAATATGCAGAAGTAGGAAGGCCGTTTATTTTTTTAGAAAATTATGTCATTTAACTTCAATCGTTTAATTCATCGTACTTATCGTTATTTTATTCCAAGGTTAATCTGTTGAAAAATTAGTCAAGATTTATTAATAAATCACTGTACGTTATCATTATTGAATCCTCGGGCAGAACTTGAAAACCGATATTCATAATAATAAATTATTTATAATCTCTGATACATAATATTAATTATAAATTCGTATGGATCACTATACCGCTGTTTGGATCAATATATTTTGTATGAAACAAATACAGATAAAGAGAAACAAGCAGAGATTTACGAAGGCATGATTATTTGTTAAACAATGATGAATTTTCTGCGTAATATTGACAATTTTATTCATGCTCATTTTTACGTAGCATTAATGTCGTACTTTTAGGAAATACTTGACCACCGGCGTCAGATTCGTAGAATATGTATAATACAGTCGGGATATCAAGCTGACTTGTGCGGTGATATTTGGAGCGTTTGTAAAAATTGCGAAGGTAGACCGCCGGCATCGCGTTCGTCGATCGCGAAATAAAGGGTTTAGGGTGATATTGGGTCACGGACGGAAAAGACGGACGGACATGCGTGCGTACGTAACCGGTACCCCGCATCAGACGTACTTTTACAAAGGAAAAAATTCAACGGCTTGCGTGAAGGGTACGCCCGTCCGTGACCTAGCATCAGCACCTAAAAGCGCAGTGGTGACCAACTTTTATGACAAAGGATCGCGTTTATGTCTTTCGGTGAATGCGCGTTCCATGAATTCTAATCGTTTTCGCGGCTGCTTGTAGTTAATTGGATCGTGCGCAATCGTCGGAACGTTCCCTCAAGCTGAACTCTCCCTCTCTCTCTCTCTCTCTCTCTTTCACTTTGATCCACCACCAAGATTGAGAAAATTTATCCTTCAAATTACTCGATTCCAGTTTCAAATCGAACGTATAAATTGGAATTGGGACAGTTAATGTTTGCGAAATATTTGGCGATTCTTGCGACGCGACGTACGAATTGTGCGAGCGCAATTAGAGTAATTACAAAGCCCAGTGCGATGACTGCAACGCAATGATCGCCGATATTAAAGTATTATATCTCGATTTAACGAATTAACTCTGATGTCGCGTTAAAATCTCATTAAACGTAATCTGTACGATCCGCAAATGAACCTTTGAGGTTGATATCACGACTATCCGTCATCATTATCACTTGTTATCAACTCGTTTATCATCGTTTAATTCGCTCCCCGATATATCCGCTAATACGGTTTCGCGCGCGTTTTAAGGAGAGATTGTGTACCTATGTGAAATTATTTATGAAAATTTTTAGGAGTTGCGATGCGCCATATATAGGCGTACAAGTCCAAGTTTTGTAACTAATAACGTAACGAGAGCACCTACGTGTACGCAAGCGTTACGTATCGCCGCTGTTACACATATGACACAGCTTATGTCAGCGCGAGAATTTGGAGAAAGTGTGTCCTTGGCAAGTTCTACAAAATACCATGGTGAGTTTGTATCAATGTATCTCCATATTGCGTACATAAAAGGAAACTTGCAGAATTGCGCGCGACAACTGTATCGCCTAATCTTTTTCTCCCCATCTCTCTCTCTCTCTCTCTCTCTCTCCCTGTCGAGTCAATTTTCAAGCTGATCGTAATTAAATCTCACACGTCAATTATCACGACGAATGTCACTCGTCATTGTGACGGAGGAATACGTATACCCAGCTCTAAAATCGTTACAGTTGCATTTGTCACCTATTGACAGCTGTTGACTCACACGTTGGGCAATCGGGGATCGCCGGGGGCGAAACGAAAGCGAAAAGTAATTATAAGTGTCGCACCCTCAGACACGGGCGACGTTTTCTAAGAAATCGCTCCGATACCCAGATGCGCGATCTTAATTTCGTGGCCACGCCACGCCCGGAATTCACTCGCGTTCCCCCTTCCCGCTCCCTCCTCGAGCGACTATCTCACCTCTCCTTTGCACTCTCGTATGCTCCTTTCTTAATGATTTCCCACAAAGAAGTCCCATACACATATCCCTCTCTCGGTTGACCATGCCCAATCACTTCGAACTCGGTGGAGGTAGTGCCCAAAATTCGATCGAACCCCCGGACAACCTCACCCGCGTATAAATAGTGGCCGACGGCCGCCAAACTGGCAGAACTCAGTAGTTGTTCCACTTCAGACGAACGAAATGGCATTCAAGGTAAGAAGAGGCCGTGTATCGACGAGCTGTTAAACGATCTCGTATATCTCATTACGCTGCGTGCTAAAGTAACGCGCTAGGACACACCTTCGAATATATCGAGAAGCCACAACGGAAGTTCTCAAACGTGAAAACATAAATTGATACTCGGGGTAATCGAAACTCAACGTTTCTCCAGTCGTCGGTCCGCACACGCGTCTTGTTTCCAAAATAGCGCGAGACCTCGAAGAATCATCTCGAACGGGATATCCTGGGGAGTGTCTCGAGAAGCCTCGAGCACACCCAGGATGACCTCTCGGACGCGTCTCCTGTTACCATCCGTAATTCATCCGACTCGCTATCAACGATAGTGGAAAGTTCGCTCGGTCCGCGAGATCTCTGCGAGCTGATTCCAGACATTGACGACACCCTCCCCGTTGCTTTTCCAGTTCATAGTACTCGCAGCCTTCGTGGCGGTGGCAAGCGCCGGCGGGCCGGCGGCTTACGACATCGGCACGCTGTCCGCCGACCACAACAGCATCGGCTACAGCCAGGAGTCCACGCAGAAGGGTTACGCCGGCCAGAACGTGGTGTCGACGTACAGCCGGGCCGAGGACTCCGCGCACTCGTCGGTCCGCGTGAGCAACAGCCACGTGAGCAACGACGCCCTGCTGGAGCAGCACGCGATCGGTTACGCCGCGCCGACCTTGGCCAAGAGCGCGTACCTCGCCCAGCCCGTCCTCGCCAAAGCGGCTTACGCCGCGCCGGTGCTCGCCAAGACCGCTTACGCGTCGTCCGCTTACGCGCCGTCCGCTTACGGATACGCCGCGCCGGTCCTCGCCAAAACCGCTTACGCGTCCCCCGCTTACGGATACGCCGCGCCGGTGATCGCCAAGACCGCGTACGCCGCGCCGTACAGTTACAGCAGCCCGATCGTAGCCAAGACCTACGCGGCCGCCCCGCTGGTGACCAAGGCCGCCTACACCACCTACGCCGCGCCGGCCGCCCCTCTGGTCGCGAAAGCCGCTTACGCCGCGCCCGTCGCCCCGGTCTTAGCTAAGACCGCGATCGCAGCACCGGCCGCCCTCACGTACGCCGCTCATGCCGCCCCGGTAGTCGCCAAGACCTACGCCGCTCCGTACTCGTACGAGACCGCCGCCCCGGTGGTGCACGCCACCTTCAGTGGCTTCGGCACCAGCTACGCCTGGTAAACGAACGTCCCCTCGTGTCTGCCACGACGACCGTTCCTTAGTAACAGGTGTCTCTCGTGTTTCGGTCTTCTCTCCCTCGAACTCTCCACGACGTTACCATATCTTCCCCGGCACACGCACCGTTTCCTTCGTTCGCAACGTAGCTGTGTATATAATATATTTATAGCGATATTTATATTTATATACCGCGCTCTACACAGACACATACATACGCGCGCTCACACACTCCGCCCTCCGTAAGCACGAACACTTGAGCGAATCGTAAGTTACGCAACGTACTTTGAAATACATGTATACTTTTGTACCCGGCGCGAATATTTCGGTTTTAGCAATAAAGCTAGGAGTTTTAAGTGTATATTAGGTGTGAAGGAATAAACCGAAATTATACAAGCGACGATAAAGGGTGTCTACGAGCTTTCAAAGTTACCCCGAGGAAAGCAATCGATCCGATTGAAGTCCCGAAGTAAAGATCATCCTCTCGATTCCTCGTTGCCTTTGCTCTCACGTGTGTTTCAAAGTCCGCAACTTTTAGAAAGGCGGGTCGCTTGCAAATCTTCCGCGCGGCAATAACGTTTTCTTGGAAAAAGTTCGAGTGTGGACTTCGCGAGGATACCCTCGATAAGTTTCGAAACGTTCGATTTGGCAAGATCTACGCGTATTTACGCACGTTTCTTTTCCACGTAGGCGAGCGCAATGTTAATTAAAACCACGCGGCCAGGAGCTCACGTACGCAGGACACGACCGGGCACAAAAGATACGGCGCAACAATTAACGCGTCGGATTGCCCTTATTGTTCGACAACTGCGCGCTGTCGAATTTCCAGTTCGAATCGGAAAGAATTTGCATACAATGGGTAGTCGAAACGCACCGATCAACTTCACACAGGTGTCACGGAAATTTGGTCGAACACAATCGCTCGCTTTCACGGACGACCGGTTTCTTTTTCTGTAACTTCGCGAACGGCCGCGATGACGAAATCGCCAATACGTGATCCAATTTCTTATTGACTTATACCTAAGATCGAAAAACTTGGATTTCTCGCCAAATCAACCTTGATACTTCCGTGTTAAGGTCACAACAATTTTAGACGCGAATAAGCGTTAATGGATCGAACATTGATCCTTTCTACTGTGTCAAATTACACGTGGTTAATGTAAACAGATGCATGGGCATTTATTCGCACCGCGAATGTCTGGCCCCGAGTTAGTTAACATATTTCGTCGGTGAGTAAATTGAAAAAGGATCACAGTCGAAATTTCTGTATTCTTAATCTATTTTGATCAAACAATCTATCTCGCAACTAAATAGAAAAATTAGTACCGAGTCCAGGAACATACTTGCGATCACGTGATCATGGAGGGGATGCAATTCTGGCGCGGCTCAGAAGTTAATATCCAGTAGAATCTCTTTAAAGATGGATCTTTACAGATTCTCGCTGTATGGCACTACTTACTTCCTTTTTTTCAGTCTAAGATTCCAATGCAAACGTTGACTCGAATCACGTCACCCTTGACGCTGCTTAAACGAGACTTAAACCATAACAAGGTTTCTCGAACACCGCTAGATGACGCCACGTCCATGGATCGTAAGAACATTTTTACCAGGTCGGCTCGTTTCAAAGTGTAGTTCCGAAATCTCCGCTACGAGTCGCTACTGTTGCGTAATATCACTACGCGAGCAGCTCGCTCACGTGTGTCGATTTGTTGTTGTAGATAGACACATGCATAGTAAACTATAAACAACAAACAAAATGGCAGGTGTCAGAAAGTTAAAACGTAAGAAGAAGTTTCGTGTAAATATAAATCGAAAAAGGCTGCGAAATAAGTTACGGAAATTGCCCACTATTCCATGGTAAGTGTTCTTAACCTCAAATGCATGCCTCGTGCAGATAGATCGGCAATGTTTTAATCTATTAATGTTATCAGCGAACAGATAAAGAAAGCATGGAAAGTCACATGGTCTACACGTACCAATTTGAAAGAAATGGGCTTGGCATACGATGCGAACGAAGTGATAACAATTCCTAATACAAAGCGGGAAATATTAGAGGATGCCAAGAGGAAAGATGCGGGTGAGAGCTCGTCAGATCATAAAGATGAAGCTATGGACGTGACTCCAGCTAAAAATTACGTGGCAGAAGCATTGCAAGCTGAAGCAAAAGCACCTCGAGAGCGTCTTTTGCGCCTACCAGAAGGACAAGCACAGTTTCTTAGTTATTTAATAAAAAAATACGGTGAAAATTACAAGGTAAATATTCTTTCTAGATAATGTTATTGTTTCATTCCTATGTAACTAATTATTTATATCATCTTTTTTCTTCATACAGGCAATGTCAAGAGATAAGAAAAATTATTATCAATTAACCTGGAAACAAATACGTGCTAAGATCAAAGTGTTTAAGGGAATTCCAGAACAGTACAATAAATATATTCAAGATAGTAGTATAGATAGTATTCAAGATAGCAGTTAAGATAGTAGTATAGAAAGTAATGTCTTGTATTGATTCAATTACTATTTATATTTAAGACAGTTTTCATGTACATGGAAGCTGATTCGATGAATATCTCTTATTGTTTTCTATACTGTTTAAATTCAACTACTTGATAAAATAATAATTATAATTACTTTTATTCTAGAAGCTCTGTGTTTCTTCTAACGAAATGCTTTCTTTTTGAAATCTCATTAATTCAAGATATAGCCATAGAAGACATCTTTTCCATAACCAGAGCTACAGAACTATGGTACCACTTATATTTAGTCTCGCCTATCATTAGACAAGGCAATGGTTCAGTTTGACACCCAATCAACTCTACCTTATTCTTGGGTGAAAAATCTATGAAATCAAAAAGTTGCTTAATATTTTCTGGTGCTAAGGCATCAGGACAATCCTGAAAATCAGAAAAAAGTACTATTGTACAATTCTCAATATGTCGTGGAATATTAAAATACAAAGTTTTCTGTGAAATATGATTACCTGTTTGTTAGCAACTATTAACATTGTTTTGTTATTTAATTGTGGTTCAGTTGTCAATTCTTTAAGTAATGAGGCTGTGGCGGATAACTTATGTGTATCAGAATCTACCACAAATACTATGAGATCAACATCATTTAAGAACATCATCCAATATTTCACTATCTCACGCGACATTTGGTTGTCACGAACTAATAACAAATAATTACATATTATTTCCACTATAAATATAATTGTATAATTTAATATTTTCAATTATCAATTAAAAGAGATTGAAAAAAGAGAGAAAGAAGCTATGCTAATAATTATTAAAAGGTATAACAAATACACACTTTCCCATATAGTATAGGAATGTTTGTTATATTTTAATCTGGTAGCAATAGAACCTTCAGTAGGCTGTGGTGGTACAGTGTAACTGAAATTTTCGTCACATAAAACATTTATTTGATTCATTAATAGAGTCTTTCCAGCACCTTTCAATCCTATTAAAAGCACTTTCTTTTCAGGTTTATTTATAAGCTAAAATAAAAAGTACAATTTATATATATATATATAGAGAAAGAGAGAATTGTGAAGGAATTATTATAACAAATTCATGATATTTATAATCGAATCTTATATTTAAGATCATTTCACGTTCATCTTCAGATGCTAAATCGACTGATTCATTGGCTACGAAGCATCCAAGGATGAATTTAACACGATTTAAATATAAAAACTATAAATATCGACTTAAGTTTTCGAAACAATTTCAAATTGACACACCATTCCTAACCTTAAATATTTCGATAAAACTTTCGTCGATTATCTTGACTTTACGTTTTTTCCAATATCTGTAAGCCATATAGAGGCCAATACAAGTGCAACTAATCCAGAGGAATGTCTTTCGACCTTCTGTCAACGGGTATTTTCCTACTATTAACATTTATTAAACGACGGTCTATCTTTCGTCGTCCAGTCTCCTAATAACGAACGATATGGCTACAAAGTTTCCGCCTAAGTAAATAATTTCTATAATTATTTTTCTTTTATTCAAATATCGTTCTCCAATATGAAGAATTTCACATCGAGCCAAGTCGGACTCACACTATCAAAACGAATAATTTTTACTGTACACTTGGGTTGCGTTCTAAAGTTCGCGGCACACGGTGTGTTAATACCTATTGGATTGCCGCTGAGTTTCTAGAAATGCACCAATCAAAACGCAGTATTTCTAGCACGCAAGTAATCCAACACAAAAACAAGCATGTGTCGCAGGTTTTACGATAGATTAGGTGGACTTTGATCTTTAACGAGATATTGATGAGTTCGATTCAAAATACAAACATCATGTTTTGAAATGGGTGTAAAAGATCTTTGGAACATTTTATCGCCTCTGTGCGAAAGAAAACCATTGTACGAGTTGCAAGGTAAAACCATCGCGATCGATTTAAGCGGATGGGTTGTTGACAGTCAAACGATCGTTGACAATGTTGTACAACCGAAGATGTATCTCAGGTCAATTTGATTTTCCTTTCTTAGATATTTTATGTCGTATTATTTAAACCATATGTACATGTGTATTTATGGGTCTAAAAATTAATCAATTTTAATGGAATAATGGCTAACATATATAAATATACAATTTCTCTACTCAATATATATATATTTATTGCGGTTGACAGATGTAATTTGTGCAATTTATATTATTTTAGGAATCTATACTTTCGTACATCATTCCTTTTAATGCAAGGGATATCTCCTGTGTTTGTACTAGAGGGAAAAGCACCTGACCTAAAGCACAAAACCATTGCACGAAGAAATGACATTCGCCATGGGTTTCGCGAAAGAAAGACAACTAAGAAAGGAGGAAGATCACAGTTTAATCGAGTTCTAAACGAATGTAAAGTAATGTTGAGATACATGGGCATTACTTGTATACAGAGTCATGGAGAGGCAGAAGCTATGTGTGCTTATTTAAATGAGGATGGGGTAAGTTCTATATATTGGAAGAGAAAAACTTTTAGTTACATAACTTATAAATATTAAGAAATTTGAAAATTTCTCTTAAATTCAACCATAAATTCCATTGCTCAACCACAGAAGTATTGATTACTTTAATTCTACTATTTTATCTCTAATGCAAAAAATATATTTTTAGCTTGTAGATGGATGTATAAGCCAAGACAGTGATTGTTTTTTATACGGGGCAAGGATAGTATATAGAAACTTCTGCACAAGTAACCAAGGAAATCGCGGAGCTACAGGTGGTTCTGTAGACGTCTACTGTATGGACAAGATAGAAAAGACACTGAACATAGGACGAAATAAAATGATAGCATTGGCTTTATTGTGCGGCTGTGACTATGATGAGGGAATAATTGGCGTTGGGAAAGAGGCTGCTTTAAAATTTTTCAAGACTGTAGAAGATGATGATGTCTTACAAAGGTTTCAATATTAAGTGTATTCCAAAAAATACCGTGCATTTATCGTCGCTCCAAGTAAATAATTTCCCTTGTCCTTTTAGGATTCAAGACTGGAGAACTGATACAAAATTGGACAAGGTAGAATCTAATTTATTAAATTCGGATCTATGTACATCGTGTGGCCATAAAGGAAAGTTGCAAAAGCACACAAAATCCGGATGTGCTGATTGCGGTACCATCAGGAAGTGTAGTGGTAATTACAAGTAAGTTAATATTATTTTTCCTACAAGGGTAATATACTATATAATTTTTCGGAGATAATACCTTACAATCTTTCGTCTACCTAGAGAGAAGAGAGCAGTGATCTTGAACGAGATATCGTTAAGAAAGAAAGCACTCCGTGATGAGACTTTCCCAAAGCAGGAATTAATGGAGGAATTTCTTATCCGAAGGGATGCAGTTCCAACTAAATTGGATATAGAATGGAGGCAGCCTCAAGTCAGTGAGTTTATTGTAAGTCGTTATATATATATATACATCACGTTGTTATAGATATAATATATTAGTTATATAATAATCTAGCATATGTATAAATGCATATGATCTCGTGTCACATTAGGATTTTATGGAAAAGTATTTATGCTGGGATCCACAATATGCATTTGAGAAAATATTCACGTTAACAACTAGATGGCAACTTTTACATCTACCAAATTTGACACGTAACGAACATTTATCTATGCCAGACTTATTTATTCCCGATGAAATAAAAAAGATACGCAATATCAGATCTATAGCCAGTTATGAAATTATTTGGAAAAAAGAGCACAGTGTAATAGAAATGTTAAAAAATTGTAAGGAGCAAATACGGAAGGATGACGGTGATGACAATAGTGATGACGATGCAGATGACAATTTGCTGACAAGCATTGAACCGCAGGATTTAGTTTTAAAGTGTTACCCGCAACTAGTGGAAACATTTGAAAATATTAGAAACGCAAAAGCGAAGAAGCGAACTGTGAATTCTCGAAAAAAGAAAGTTGTAACAGACATGATAACAGAGAATAACGCTGGAGAGAAAGATGTTGCAAAATTGTGTCAAAAGAAAACTAGGAAGAAAGTCATAGAAAGCAAAAATAACAGGAAGATCGATGAATTTATTTCTGGAAATCGTCTTGCGTCGTTGGAAGAGTCCTTTGAGGAAATGGCAATTACACCAAAAAGATCGAAGAAAAAAACTACTATGATTAAAGTAAACGAATTAAAAATAAAGGATACGCCTGAAAATACGGTCGTGAATACGAAACATATCAAACGTGGACCACAATTTGACAGAGTATTACAAATGGAAACAATACATTCGAGGTTGAATAACACGCTTGGCAGGATGTTTGATGAACTATCACCTGATGATTTCATGAGTGAAAATGATGATAATGATTCGATCGTAACAGATATAATAGAAAATATATGTAGTAAACGAACTTTTGAATTTAATACTAAAAACTGTCGCCCTGTAGAATCCACGAGTCAATCTATAGAGAGAGATGCCAAAATTGATCAATCGGAAGCTTCGACGTCAAATATAGAAAAGCATGTCCACGTCGAGGACGCGGAAGAAAAATCAGATGATTCTTATGATGAATTCGGTGGTATAGATGATTACATCCCTATTAATCAAAGAATACAGGTCGGAACAAGTGAAAAGCTCTTACAAATGTGCAATCAAATAGAAAAAAGGTCTTCCATTGATTTTGAAAATATTATGAATGAAACTGTTAATGAAAGCATGCAGTTAGGCGCGTGATATATATATTATGAAACATATATTGTCTACTTATACCTATAAGATGTAATAATAATCTGTAAGATTTTTCAAATATGTATAAAAGAAAACAGCTCTACCTTGTATTATGTCTTGTCCTTGTTTAATTTTATTTAATCCATCTCAGATCGATCTCCCATTGTAACGTCGCAAAATTATATTGATAATTTAACGATACATTTTTCAAGTATTCGGTAAAGGACAACGATGAGTCTTGACCTAAATTCAACGTAGCCTTTAAGAGATTTGGATAACGATTGCGCGCGATTAATTTGAATGAAGGGGAAGACTTATCAAATATCAGAATTTACCAAGATAAAAAGTGCGCTGGATCTGTTTAATTATGATTTTAAATAATGGGAATTAACTCTGAATTTTTAATTGGCCACCGGCAATAATATTTATCAGGAATATTCATTACGCTCGCTGCTGGTACAGCTACGTCGGTCGGATATTATTAATTATAAATTTTCGCAAATATTGGTACGTCGTAAATTTACACGATTTTGTCGCATGTTACGTTGTAAAAAGGAGACGAATCTGAAATTTATCATAGTCAAGAATTTCTCTGTAATATTTGAGATACGCTTGCTCGCTTACGTAGTTAACGGCACAAATTAGACTGCTTATTATACGGAAGAACGAAAAGAATCAGCGAGTCGTATCATGCGAAATCTCTTTGTGAATGCGGGTGCATCGACACCATTAACGCGCGTCACAATATGCATATCGCTATATGCGCTGTGCGCACAAAGTACTCGTTGAATTTACGTCGTAGGTGCATATTCAAGAGACTAACTGAGCATGAGATTATCCTTTAAGCTTTTTATCTTTTACATTTTTGGTCATCGGTGTGTACGTGTGACACATCGCGCGTCGTGTGCACGGATGCGAGCGCACGATTCACGTGTTCAATTCAAGCTTTCAACAAGCTTCAATATGCATGATCTCTCATCTCTCTCTCTCTCTCTCTCTCTCTCTCTCGTAATGGACAAATTACCAATATTAAATTGGACAATCTCTTCAAATGAAAGAGAGGGACTAATAATATTCTATTCTAAAAATAAAAATGAGACTCGCGCATGTTGGAATATATCCGTTGGAATATAGCACGGGAGAGACGCAGATCGATCGAGTGCTAAACCGCACCACCAATCTCGGCAAATTTAGACTTTCTTCAAGTGTACGGCTCATCGGTGAGCCAGACCAAAAAAAGAGATTCTTTCAAGAAGACTCGCGCGACCCGCATTCCCGTGAGTGACGAGCGGAAAAAATCAAAGATTTCTTACATCACTTGACCCGATTAACAAGGTGACGTCACCTTGCGTACGACATCTCTGCTCGTATCCCATCAATATTAATACTAATGTTCTCTCAACGGGCTATTAATACGTCGGAAAGAATCTTGGATCGATACCTGGATAATAGCCGTACGGAAGCGCGGATCACGCAATCTTACCTCCCATATGCCCCGCAGCTTACATCTTCCTGCAATTTTGAACCTACTTTGTCGGTTACTTCGTGGCCGACAGTGTGGGCGATTTCTTGCTGCGGTAGCTCCGTCGAATTTCCCAGGGAGAGACTGTCCAGTTTTCGAAAAAGCGAAGTCGAGCTCCGTGATCGATCGAGCGTCGCATCGCAAACAAATTTTACTTGGCCGTACCGAGTGCATTCCGGGGGTGTGCATCTCCGGAAGAAAGTGTCGGGGTCGCGGATTAGTCGATAAGGAGGTTGATTTGAACTAAGACATTATTAAACTTTTAATTCTCCTCCATCTCGCGTTCCGCCGGCCGGCACAGCTCTAAAGTGCCTGAAATTGCCCCGCCTGAATCGGCACATAGCGTGGCGCGTTGGCCGCATTCTAATTTAACGTTGAAAGGGTCAAGCAAATGGATTCGGGATCTCGACGAAACGGATTCGCATTTGCATAAACTGAAGTAGTCGGCGAGCCTAAACCTCGGTCAACATTCCGGTCGGCCGACGCCGGACGATGATGTACGGCCCGTGGGATTACGCGCGGCAACACAACTCTTCCATACCGCGCGCGTGCACCTTTTTATTGCAATGCCGCGCGTTATAACGTTATAGCAAACGTGACAACGATCGATCGATTCGCCGGTAACGAGGATGAGGAACGGGCGCAGCAGCAGCTCGCAGCTCGAATAAGTCTGAAACACGATTGCAGAACGTATTTATAAGATCTTCGCTTCGAGATGGGCGCTTGACGCAATTTATTTATGCGAAAGTACACCCGACGTAGCAGTGGTGGTAGTAATCGGCTTTTATGAAGTTCCAAAGTAGACGAGTATTGATTCCCGACTATCCGAGGCTACTACTTGCGCACCACGTCCAAGACCAATCATTGTTTGAGGTAAATTTCCAGGTAGCACGTGTTCGTCTTATACATGTGCTTTAAACGCGTATGCAACGTTTTAGAATCGTATCACATAGACGTTTAAAGAGCGCATGTGAAACTAACCGTGGGTTCATCGTCGCGAAGATAGAAATCGATATTTCTACCTCCCGATCGTCCGAAATTTATAATATCGGTAACATCCCGTCGCTGTATGATCGAGAAGTCGAAATTTGAAATTAAAGCGCACTTGCTAATTTTGAGATGCCCATCGTGAGATCCGCGAATAAAAGAAAGGAGAGACGAATTCCATCTTCGCGCGATAAATGACGCGTGCGTGAAATACTGCTGACGAGCGGTTAAATCAGACGTACCTTTTCATCGTGGCGTATCGCTGCTAAATTTCCTTCATTTATGCTCATTTGCGAGGCACACGCGATACCAGTCGCATTCAATATCGCTTTTAGCGGTTACCAACTTTGCTTTTAGCGGACCATAATGCAGAACGCTTAATTCGACGCGTTGATACTCGAATTACCGATTCGACTCGATCAGAACGCAGCTCAACTTAATTCGGGAAACGTGATCTATTCTGAATAGGAGTCAGAAGGTGATATTGTTGCAACCTCGAATTTCTGCCCGCCGACAACTGACGCGCGCTGCAAACTGAACGCCGAGTACACAGAAAGCAGCAAACTTATATAAACAGGCTCTACGAGTATGCAAACCGTAAAAGCGAAGGAAGAGGGGCGGAGCCAATTAGAATCAATTGCGGATATTAGCGCGAATATTATTTAAACTGCTGGGGGATATTAATGTTTGAACGTGTAATAACGCACGCGCCGGATTAGCCGCGGAATAACAATCTAAGCGGCTAATCGACTTTCCACGTCGCATACACCCTGAATCCCAATTATTGTGGTTATTATTAATTACTGTTTAGCCCTTATTTAATATTAATCATCTTCACGTGGCTCACTAATCTCCTCTTGCAACTATCTAATTAAATAATATTCAGGCTAATTCGGTGCGTTATTATTACACGTACAAATATTGATGTCCTCCCACGGTTTCAATGATATTTGCACTAATATCCACGATTAGCTCTGATCGGCCCTCTCTCATTATCATTAGTCGGTCTCCCATTACTCGAAAGTATATCCAAGACGTATCAAGAAAAAAGAAAGTAACGACTCGTGCTGTCAAGCTTCAGTATTCGGGGGNGAGTTCGCGAAATATCGTTATGACACGGACGACACCTCTCGGCCGGTGAATCGAGGGCGTGATCGCGAAACGGCAAGGCGAAGACCGAAAACGTCGTCGTGAAAGGAGCACTCGGTGTCGCGATAATTGCATTCTTGTCTTTGCCATCGCGAAATATGCATGCCCGTGCGTTTTATACGCGTTATATATACGGTTGTCTGTATTGGAACGGGGGCGGACAGTGAGGGTCGATGGGGGTGGTTGCCGGGATTTTCAGTACGCGCGCGATCTCCGTGCCGAAAACACAGTTCTCCCGAATGCTCGTACTATCTTCAAGCCCGTGGCGAGTCCACGACGAATGTCTATGGTTGCTGATACATTGACGTACGGGGCGATCGCTTCTAACGGTAAATTGATATTTAACGTCGGGAGCCGCGGGGAGTGCGCAAGTTTCAATTCTGGACGAGGACGACGTGCGAGTTAAATTCGAAGATTCGAAGGAGGAAACGTCGAAGTAAGACCCGCGGGGGAGATGTTTCTATATCAATCGTTAAATCTATCGGCGGATCGGCGTTTCCACGTGAGACGCGTGCGGATCGGCTGTGATTGCGGACGCTCTTGAGAAAAACCGATTAGCCGCGCGCACACACAGCAGTGAATTAATCACACCAACGGTTCCCCGTCTAGACACTGTTATTAATTCAACGGGCTGCGAGCACCACGTAAACGGCTCGACGCGAAACGATAAATAGACGAATCCGTCGCGAACAATTAAGAAGAAACGCGCGGGATAAATCAATCGGGCTAATGAGGCGCTCGTCTTGATACAATTCTTTATCGGACGAAGAACCGCGTATCGCGGACAAAAGCGGCGTGTTTAATTGAATTCCGCGTCTACCGTGAAATTAACGAGCGAACTATTTCAAATAAAGAGTGTACAAAAAGCGCCAGACATTTAACGGCATATTAATTAATCTTTAATGTGTGTGCATGCGTGCTTGCGCGCGCGCGCGCGCGCGTGTGTGTGTGCGCGTATGTATTATATAAGCACAAAAATTTTATTTGTGAAGAAGCGCCTTTGTCGATTTTTTTTTTTTTTTAAGCACACGAAACGTTTAACAAACGCTTTCATAAATTCCGGCACGTAGATTCCGAGGGAAATATTTATTCCGCGCAGATCCGCGGACGAATTCGGAATAAATCCGGAATGAATGAAATCCGCGCTAAAACCTACGGTGCAAAGACACTTCTCTTTCCGCGCTGATTCTCACATTGAAGATACCGGGCTGCGCCGCGGATATTACATATTACGTACGCTTATAACGCGAAACATGCGACACATTATATAAGACTATATTTTACGGGCGACATACGATGCCTGATGTTGGTTTTCGAGCACCTTGCCACGTCGCGGACATCTTTAATTAATGAAGACTAGTGAGGCCGGAGCACGCGGGCAATTAACGCGACACACGCGCGCGCGCGCCGACGCTTATATTATAACGTACATGATATTCGTGCGTCATTCAT